TTTGCTGTGTTTCCAGATGACAACACACAGTAGGGAACTATGACAATCCAACTCAATGTTTCCTGAGGCTCTACAACCTGATTCAGTACATAATTTGTTTCCGATCCTGAATCAGATTTGAAACAAATGTAAATAGTTTCTCTTTCCTTGGAGGCATCTTTTCTCTTCAAATAATACATGACACCTTTAATACTGCAACAACTCTTTGGAATTAATGATTGCAAATTAAATATTTAAATTTCCTTTACGATAATATTTCATAGACAGAAAATGAGAAGCAACACAGCCTACCCATCTCCCATACCATCACCATCCTATTCATATATTTTGGGCAGGATTGTGCTGTGTCCCCAGGGTCTAAAAAACCAAATGCATACCAAGTTATAGACCTCTTAATCTCCAGCATTTTAGTTTTAGGAAGCATTTTAAAAATGCCAAGCTCTAATAAAATCTATTACTCGTTTTTATTATATTATCTTAGTATAACACGGTTATACAATTTGCTCTAACCCACACACCCTCCTACAAACTTAATGGAAGTGGTATTTGGAATATTAACTTATTTTTTAAAAATGTGATGTACTAAAGGAAGAGTCATGGTATGCCTAATTCCACCTACTGTAGTTTAATTTTGGCATTAGCCTAATGCAACCTCTGATCACGTGTGCTGCTGAAAAGTGGACTCCAACAGTTTTGATTGAGGTAATGTGGAAACAAATGAAATAAGTTGTTAAAATTAAGAGCATGTCTCTATGAATAATACATTCTAGCCAGCAGTCCATGCCTGTTCCAAAATGAGAAGCCAGCTCTGGGTGACCTTTTATTATGGGTACTAAGGAAAAAAATTATAATAATAAAGCTTCAGATTAAATTATGGAATGTATATATTTGCAATTTTGCCAGTGAATGCTAATAAAACAACTTGAAATTAATATGCGACAGAGTTTTGAAATTGTTGTAGCAGTGGACTATGAGAGCTCTGGCTCCCATTATTTGAAAAAAAGGACCATTATAGCCTTTGTCTTATCTGTAAGCTGCCATTTAATGACAGCTGAAATTTAGCCTGTGAATAACCATAAGCCTATTTAATTGGGGCAAATGAATGAAAATAGATTCCTGATGATCACACCTGATCCTAAGTCCTACATCTTAAATTTTATTTTTCCTCATTACTGAATGATATTTTAAAGTCAACCATTTGTGACTGAGCAGGTATCTTAACTTTAAATCACACTAAATCATCATGCAATTTGGCTGGTTTTAGTTGAATTGTATTGTATTGTTTATTTAATTGAATAGTCATAAGACCTTATCAAAAACATTACATAAATATATAACAATATATAATAATTCCATGTCAGTCTGGGCACTAATATCCAAGACTCTCTGTTTAAAAATTTCCCTTGCCTGGGAAACCCTTGACAATAAATATTGGGTAGAAAACCCATGTCTTAAGATGGCTCTGTGGAGTTGACTGGCCCAGGAGTTAGATTGGAACTTATTTAGCTGTTCAGTTAGGCATAATTTGGGAAATCTATCCGAATTCATTGGTTGTATCTTTAGCCAGTATGTAAATGTTTTAATTATTAAGTGGCTATGTAAGGAGTGGATACCCAATTCCGCTCTGACTGCTGAAGCAGAAGTGTTCTTATCAGTCCCCAATAAGTGTCTTAAAAAGCGGGTCTGTGTTTGTTCAAGTGGGGAGGCTTTATTTAAACCCCACAGTTCTGCACCATATGTCAGCATTGGAACTATTTTTGCCCTAAATACTTTCAACATAGAGGTCAAAGTGCCTGGGTAATTATGGTTAAATAATTTATATAATTTTTGGTGCTTATCTCGGCTCTTAATGCGCTACTTTTAAAGTGATTAAACCAAGATCCTGTATTAGTAAAGACCATTCCTAAGTAGGTGTAAGAATTTACTTGTTCGATTGACTCCCCATTAATCTGCCAATTATATTTCCTACTTTTTGTGCTGAAAACCAACACTTTGGATTTGCTTTTATTAATATTTAAGAAATTCAAAGTACAATAGGTATTCAGCTTATGCAACAGTCTCCTCAGGCCTATTTGTGAAGGAGCCATTAATACCATGTCATCGGCATATAAAAGGGTATTAATAAATTTATCAAGAATCTTTGGCATATGCAAATCTACTGCATGCAGGAATCCTGGTAAATCATTGACATAGAGATTGAAAAGCATTGGGGCTAAAATGCAGCCCTGTCTTACGCCAATATTGGTAGGTATGCTTTTAGACAGGGCTTCATTTACACCAGTACGGATTTTCACATGGGTGTTTGAGTAAAGGGCCCTAACCAGAAAAAGGAGTCTGGGCTTCATGTTCAGGTCCGCCAGTTTCCTCCACAAGATATTTCTGTTTAACAAATAAAAAGCCGCACTTAGATCAATAAATGCAGTGAATAATTTCTTACCCATTTTTAAATACCTTGTTACCAAATGATATAATGTAAAACTATCTATGGTAGATCGCTCTGGTCTAAAGCCTGGTTGTTCCTCCGCCAAAAGATTATTCTCCATAACCCAGATTTCAATTTTGCTCAACAAATGCTTTGCATACATTTTAGCAACAATTCCAATTAGGCTAATTGGTCTGTAATTATTTGGATTGCCTCTGTCTCCTTTTTTATGTAAGGGAACAATAATGGCCACTTCCCAACCCACAGGTATGCGGCCAGTATTGTTTATAAAGGTAAATAGCCCTGCTAACAAAGGCGCCCACCAGTCCATATAAGTCTTAAATAATTCCGGGGGCAAAAAATATGTGTGAACCTAAGCATTCACGCCTTTCAGTCTAAGCTGTAAAAGATTCAACTTCCCTTTTCATGCCTTGCCACCACTGCTTCATGTTATTTAGATCCTGCTTATTTCAGGAGAGAGAATCCCAATGCATCTTTTAATTGATGAAGAGAATAAAGAAACATTTGAATTTTCTGCTGCTTGCACCATAATGCCATGTTGTAGCTCTAGTCTAGGTAGTATTAATATAGTCTAGGTAGCCTTATTCCATTTGAGTGAGTATATGAGAACTATATGCATGCCATAAAGTGCTCAAAATTGACCTGCTTAAATTGAAAGCAAAGGGATTTTTTTTTTATTTTTGGCTCAACTGACCCCAGACTGAATTATCCCCTGGGCCAGGCCTTGGTTCCTCTGGATATAAGAAGCTTTCAGGAATTCCTACGTGGCTGCATGTTGAGGCTAGAGTATGCAGCTCAAGGAAAGGGCAGCCATCCTATAGCCCAGATTGCTTTACAAAGTGGCTATTTATTACTGGTATAAGCTCTGTCATCCTATCTCCTGAGACTGCAGCACCCTGATGAGACCAAGCAACATCAAGAATTCTTTCATGTCCTTTTCTTCAAATCCCTTATTTCCACAGTCAAACAAATGAGTTCTGCATTCAAAAGAAAGATGGAGAATGTAGAAAATAGGAGTGGCGGGGAGGAAGCATTTCAAGATTTGGGTACACTTAAATAGTAGATTTTAAAGTGGACTTCCTTGACCCAGGTGCCTTTTTGGAATGCTGACTAGCAATTCCCATAATTATCCAAGGGAAGTAGTGAGGCTAAAAACAAGTTAAGGAAGGTTCCTTGATACTTACCATGCTTCAGATTCTGTAAAATCTCAAGAAACCATCTAGTTTGCTAGCTTTTATCATCATCATCATCATCATCAGCCACTGTGTTAGCATGTTTTAGCATGTCTGATGATGTGGAATTTGACCTGAGCAATTCCAGGGAGTTGCTACTAGTCTTTGCAAGAAACAATTCTTTCTTGGGAGTTTTCTTCTTGTTCCTGGTGTCATACCTACACATCCCTATTGGACTCTTAATTCCATATACATTTGTCCTTCACAAACCTGTGCGACACTCTTACCATCTGCTACATTTCTTAAGTTTTTATTTTGTTTATTCTTTTTTATATATAAAAGTAGCAGAAATAACTAATTCTCCTGCCTCCTATTTTCCCCACAATAACCCTCCAAGGTGGGTCCGGCTGAGAGAAAGAGGAACTGGCCCATAGTCACTATTATTACTCCTTTTTCCATCTGAAATATTTATTTATTACACATCTTTTACTTTAAATGGCTTGATACATTTTATGTTAAGTATTAAAATTAAATTGTCCCAAGTTTCTTTGAGGCAGCGGGTGTGATGTAGTCAAAGGCCTGCACTCTCTCTCTCACACACACATACACAGAGACACACAAACAAAATCTCTATGGGTGCATCAGATTAATGCTTTCCTTTGTCAGTGAAGATGCAGAAAGCTTCCACAAGGGGGAGAGACTCCAAAGGTGAGCAGCAATAGCCAGTGACAGATTAAGATAAAGGCGCCTTCCGAGTCATCCCTGATTCTCCACGTACAGCAGTTTTCTTGGCAACAAAAGGGAAGTGGTTTCGGCAAGTGCCGATGCATTCTGGGGCTTTTGTTCATTCAGCACTAGCCTGACATGGTTTAATGGTCTCCTGTTAAAATGCTAATCAGACCTGAGATTGGGTGCTGCCTTGTGCCATGTGAAAGCGTCAGATGAAGTTTGTTTTGTTTGTTTTCCATCCGCTCTGTGACATCTCCTCTTAGGAAAAGGGCGCCTAGCACAGCAGCCGGGAAAAGAGAAACCATGTGCCAATTGTGATTATTTTGATGTGATCCTCCGGGCTGGCACTTAATATTGCAGTCTCCTCGGGGCACATTTCCCTCCGTTTATTTACTGTCCTGCAAAGTAATGCGCTTAGCAATATTATGCGGAAGCCAACCGCGTGGAATGGGCGACAAAGCAAACGCGGCATTAACACACAGGCACCAGAGGGGGAAAGCCAGGAAAAGGGAACTCGGGGGAGCGATCCCGCCGCGTCGCGCCGCTTTCTTCCGATCCGCAGAGCATCCAGGCGAGCAGGAGGGGGCGCCTCACCTGGCTCAGGTACGGGACGGGAAGTACCTGTTGCTTTGGGGATCACGTGCCAAGGAGGGGGAGGCGGAGGAGGCGGCGGCGCTGTCGTCGTTGCGGGCAAGCGACTGCTGGGTCAGAGCGAGCTCTCGAGCCCAGAAGGTGCTTGGCCGACAGCGCGAAGCAGGTAAGGAAAGGCGGGGATGGCGCGGAGCGGGGGGGGGGGGGGGAGGTTTCCTCTTCGGGGCTTGCGGACTTTGGCATCTCCCACCAGCGAAGGTGAAGGCTTGGAGTGCTGCCCGGGAGAAGGAAGGCAAGCCTGTTTCACCTTCCCGATCCTCGGAAACCAAGGGTGGGGTGTTTTGTTTTCTCTTGTTTGTTTTTGGCCGGGCTGACTTGGGGGTGGGTGGGGTTCCCATGGTTAAGCCGGGGCTTGGGCCTTCCGAGCGAAAGTTGTTGACTTGGACCTTCCGAGCCCGGCGCCGAAACCCACTTTGGCGGCTCTCCCCTAACAACTTCCAGCTGTTTCCCGGGAAAGGGCGGGCGAAGCAGGTGCCTGAAACGCTCCTTTGAACTTTGGTGTCCTTTTGGTGCGCCCCCCTCCCGGCCTTAACTTCTGTTGGGACGGGAAACTAAGCCAGCTTCTTGGGGGGGGGGGCATCTGGGAGGGGATCCGATCGGGCCGAGGCCACGAGCAGTTAGTGCTGCTCGCTGTTGGAGTGAGTTTTCGCTGGGTTGTGCTTCCTAAGCGGCCGGGTTAACCATTGAGTAACCTGCTTGAATTTCTCGCAATCCAACCTGGGAAATCGGATAGAGAGGGAGATTTTGTCTTACTTTAGGAGAGTTGAACCAAATCTTGTAAAGAAGGGGATGAGAAATTCATGGGCTTTTGAGATTCGAAGATGCAGGGAACCTTTTCTTGCGCCTTACTGGCTTTTAGAAAAGTCTGGAATTCCCTTGACCCCACACAATGAATTTGACAGCTCTATTCTTACGTCTAGGTAATGTAGAGATATACTCTTAACTTCACTTTCTATTTTTAATTTCTGGCCTCATTGTTTATAAACCATCTCCCCGCCCCCATATAGAATAGAATAGAATAGAATTCTTTATTAGCCAAGTGTGACTGGACACACAAGGAATTTGTCTTGGTGTAAATTCTCTCAGTGTACATAAAAGAAAAGATACATTTGTCAAGAGTCAAGAATCATAAGGTACAACACTTGATAATAGTCATAGGGTGCAATAAGCAATCAAATCATACTAGGAAACAGTCAATATAAATCGTAAGGATAAAAGCGACAAGGTTACAGTCATATAGTCATAAGTGGGAGGAGGTGGGTGAAAAGGATGGGAGGATTAATAGCAATAGTAACAGTAATGCAGACTTGGTAAATACAGTAGTTTGACAGTGTTGAGGGAATTATTTGTTTAGCAGAGTGATGGTGTTTGGGAAAAAACTGTTCTTATGTCTAGTTGTTCTGGTGTGCAGTGCTCTGTAGCATTGTTTTGAGGGTAGGAGTTGAAACAGTATATGTCGAGGATGTGCGAGTTCTATAAATATATATTCCCTAACTCAGAATCCCCACTCCGTGCACCTGAAGAACTGAACTGCAGCCTAGCAAATCTTTTGCTGTACGTTTGTTTTGAAGGGGCTACAGGTTTCCTGCTTTCTGTAAGCATGTGCCTTTAAGAACCTAAGCACTTTGTGGAAAAGCCTAGCATTCTTGCAAGCATCCCCAGCAGGTAGTCTACTGAAAAACAGCCTACTAGACTGTGGGTTACTTTCTGCTCACTTCTCTCTGTCTAGAGTTTTAAATAAATAAAAGCAGTGCCATTGGCACAGTTAGGAGGTGGAATATGAGCAGGTGTAACTTCTTTGCAGTTTCTCAAGTAGTGAGGCCTTGGCTTCCTTTGCATCTGGTCACTGGGGGGAGGGGATTGCTTTCTGCAGAGGGGAAAAGTGACTTTTCTTGCCTTGCCAGGAAAGTTGGTCAGGATTCTGTGAAATTTAGTTGTAGGTACCAGTGAGAAGATAATGTTCATAGAAGTAGCAGGCACAGGACTGCCAGAATTATCTGTGTTAAATGTTCAGTTGCATAGAAGTAAACATCAGATCAGTTTTTTTGTTTTTGTTTAAAAGGTAAAAAGATGTGCTTGTTCTCTCTGGCTGGATTCACACAATGCTCTAAGCTAGTGGTTCTCAAACATGTTGATTTTGGGATTTCTTTACATTCTTAAAATAACTACCTATTCCAAAGAGCTTTGGTTTATGTCGATTTTACCAATGGATATTTACTGTATTATAAATTAAAACTGAGAAATGTTGAAAGTGTTTGAGCTTGAACATTTGTAAGAACTGCTGCTCAAATACATTATGTGTTAGGCTTACTGTGATGCATGGAGTCAACCATGTGATTGTAAACCATAGTTTGTGGGTTAGGATTATATGTGAACTAGGCTAGTGATGCATGTTGAAACTTACCAAATAGGGCTTAAGTGTATTAACCCAGCCTCGTGCTTACCTGTTTTAGAGTCCAGCTGGATTGCCAACATTTGAAATCATTGTGGTTATATGTGTGCTGATGGGTAAGGCCTTCATATGACTTGACCAGGCTTGAAACTTGTTCAGTGGTGCAAATCAAAAGGAAGAGGAAGAGGATAGGGAAGATTTACTCATACCATGCAACCATAAAAAGTTTGGCAGCTGTACACTGTGTTTTATAAGGGTGGAACTTTTGCTTGGACAGTGCTTCATCTAAAAACGGCCCTATTATCTGAAATCTAGGATGGCCCAAGTTCCTTTTCCACTAGACTTCTGTGCCTTAATTGCCAAGCAGAGATCTGATGACATGATTACCTGCTCAGCAAACAGAAATATCTCCTAATAAATCCTGCTGTTTTTGAACACGTGAAAAGTGCAGGAACCATGATAAGAAAAAGAACAGAACAAAACTCCAGTTTTCTCTTTCACGCTTTGAAGTGGTAAAATTAATGTGAATATACCTCTGAAATAATAAGGTTCAAATTCTCAGAACTTTGTTGCTGTTAGAGAAGTTAGATCAATTGGAACAAAGTGGAAATGATTAGCGATATCTCTAGGTTCTGTCTAATGAACAGACAAAAACTTCGGAAACTGTGGCTATTAAAGATAACCCTTGGTGTAAGCAATCCCTGTATACTTACTCCCCAAGATTAGTCCCTGCAGTGCTTGTCTTAGAAAAAGAAGTTCCAAGGTAACAGGAGAGATTTACTCACTTGGACTTCTGGATAGGCTCAAGGCCTTGCTGAGCAGAAAATAGCAGCAGCAGCCCTCTTGACTTCCTGGCAGAATTCAGACAGTACTCTGAATTGTAGGCTAATGTCCATGAATAGGTTCACACAGGACATGAAGATAAAACGAAGTTGGCTAATTTGGGGCTTATCTCTTTCTAAGGGAGCTTAGCTCCACACTATGATTCCAGTTTCATTCCAGGAATGAAACAAAAGTATCTCAGTGCAAGGTATCACCTTTTAACCAGTGACTCATGAAAGCTTCCTAAAGATCATGGGAATGAGTCTGTCTCACAGCTGACTTTTTGCTCTGGGCTCCCAGCATTAGAATATGGTATCAGAAGGAAGAAGAAGGGGGAAAAAGCTCTTGAGTCAAGAGGCGTTCACAATTGCCAACCTTCTGTGTGGAAATACATGGAAATTAGTTCCTGTATCTATTCCAAGAAACCACTGTAATGTAGTCATTGACTTATGACCACAACTGAGTCCAAAACTTGCTAAGTGAGTGAGACAGTTGTTGAGTTTCACCCCATTTTACAACTTTTTTTTACCACAGTTGTTAAGTCAATCACTACAGCTAAGTTAGTAACACAATTGTTAAGTGAATCTGGCTTCCCCATTGACTTTGCTTGTCAGAAGTTCACAAAGGACAATCTCATGACATTGGAACATTGCAACTGTCAATGGGTCCACATTTTGATCTCATGACCATGGGCAGGCTGCAATGGTTGTAAGTGTGAAAAATGGCCATAAGTCACTTTTTTCAGTGCTGTTGTAACTTTGAATGGTCACTAAATGAAAGGTTGTAAGTCAAGAATTGTCTGTATAAAATATACTTGGATTAGCAATTATTCAGAGAACCCAGATCCATCATGGTAGATACAAAACACACCCTTTAGTTTATTTCATTGGTGGCAGTCCCTAAGAATTTACTTAATGTGTCAGCAATTTTAGCTTAGTCCCCACAGGAACCAAACTAAAAAGGGTGCATTTACTATCTTTTGAGATCTACTCATGTAAAGGGGTTTTTCTTTGCTATCCAGGTGTCAGCATGAGTTAAGGCCCAACGTGAGTCCTTCCTACATAAATCATTGGGAGTTTTATGAAAATAAGAATGTAATTATTTCAAGAGCTAGGTGGGATAATTTATTTAAGGAATAAAATATCTTGTTGACACTCAGAGGCTAAAACCCTTTTTGATGCAAGAAATATTCAGATAAATTGGAAGTAACCATTTACAGTAGGGGTAATTGTATTGGCTGGGGGTGATACTGATATGTAAAGTGATAAGTACTGTAAAGTACTTATCATTATGGATGTGAACATTATGGATGTGAATCACTGTCAAAAGGGGATCATTAAACATCATTCTTGGATGAACTGATTATGATTTTTAGGCTCAATTCACACATTACAGTAAGGTATGGTGTAGTTTGTTTAGTTTAAACCCAGCATGTTCCATGCTGCTTAGTGATTACAATTTATTCAATAAACCAGAGTTAAATCAAACCAGGAGGTAATATGATCTGCAAGCTACAATGTAATTTGATTGTTAGCAATCTGTTTTGGCTCAGACTTCCATCAATATAATTGCTGAAGAACCTTAGTTCAATCCTTTTGCCATAAAAGTTATTGTATTGGTTCTCTTCTTTGTGAATGGCTGCCTTAAATTACTTACTGATTGGGCTCATCACAAAGTGCTTTAAGCCATAATGAGACCAGCTTAACATGGCATGTGGATAGAGCCACTTGGTTCTATGATTTGATGGCTTAACATTATAAATAATCCGAGCCCTGATGGCTTTAAAAAAAAATTGGGGAAGCCATGGCTTTAGTATGAGTCCAACCAGAGTACCTGAGAGGCTGAGATATTTCTCCATTGGGTTTTAAGTACTGCTGTCAGATTTTTTT